ATTGAAATGGCCCCACCTCCCCCCCCCCGGCCCCCCAACTTGGGGAAGCTTCTACTAGCCACATCCGTTCCAACATTTCTTCTTTTGTCACATGCAGGGCGCTCTGCAGTCTCTACTGCTCTAAGCATTTATGTCAGCGGCAAATTCTAAGGCTTCTCATGGCCCCTCCGCCCAGAACCACCTCTAACTCTGCTGTTCCTTTCTTCCCTGCCCCATGGGGTTTCCAAACAATGACTTGGCAATTAATATTGTCTGAGCAGGTAAGGAGTAGGAAGAGGAGGAGAAACCTTCTCATTAAAGTGGCAGGGGCTGCTAATCCCATCTGCTATTGAAGCGGTGGCCTTGGAGGCCAGCTTCTTGCATCTTTTCTCATTCAAACCCTTCTGCCCCTCCCAAATGTGACCATCTTATTCCCTGCGGACTTTAAAGTTAGGCTGAAATTCAAGCCAGCTCCAGTCAGAAAGTGAAGCTAGATTGTGCTTTTAAAGCTCAGCAAAGGAAGTGCCCTGCCCAAGCCCACTGGACCACCTCCCACCAAAGGGGAGGCACAGTATGTAAAAATCAAAGAGAAGGCGGCCCTGGAACTAAAACTGGCACCCAGAAACCTGGATTGCAAATCATAGAACCTTCCTGAAATACAGATAGGGTACTTTATTTTCTGCTACGACAACTTTTTTCTCAACTAGTTCTCACTTGATTTTGAAAAATCTTTTTTTTTTTCTTTCTCTCCCCTCCCCCTGTTAATCCCAGACCCTTCTACCTATTTTCACCCTGGTTTATTTATTCATTTTGGTCCTTAAGTTCTTCAAAGTAGCTAGGAATAGATCTCCTAAGGTAGTTCTAAAATGCAAATAGGTGGCTCCCCACGGTCCCTCTTCATTTTTTTTTCAGTAAGAAAACTTAAGGTCATTTTCACAGGGTAGTGGACAGGCTTTCTAGACGGCACTCCATACCCCAAACCAGAGGGACAGGGGAAGCCCAGATGGCCAAGATCAATCCAAAACAGGATCATTTCCATCACACCTTATAAATTGCCTCACCATTTTTTGTTCAAATTGTATGAATCATCCTTCCTTTTATATGAATCATCTTTCCTTTGAGGTCCACCGATGTTAAATTTAGGAAAGGAGCCGAAAAAGGGAGAAACAACAATTGGAGAGAAAGTCAAGAACATCTAGAGGCCATCTTCTTTAAACTACTTAAGAACTTCTCAGGAGTTTTACATTTGTGTTGCCTTTCCACTTTCTAGTATCTCTGTTGTGTGTGTTCAGTGCAGCACAAGTTATGTGACCTCTCTGCCCAGGACGTGGCTTCCGACAGCAGACGACACATGAAATACCGCTGTGTCTCCCAGCAACATCGGAGGGACAGAAATGCTTTCTCTTGTTCACCCAACTTAAAGAGAAATCCCCATCCAAAGAACAAGATACATCCTTTACTTTTGGGGAGAGTCAAGAGGGAGGCCCTGGGACAATTCTTTTTCTGGCCACCTGCTTTGTCAAAGACTGGGAGACAGTGATGCTTCCTTTGGGTGCAACTTAGTTTGACTCACGAATTTCCTCACACATGTATTTATACCCAAGGTATTTCTACAAAATACGCAGAAGCACATCCAGCAAGCTACCTTCCCTCTGTGCATGGAGTTGATTTGTTGTTCTTTTTTTTTTTTTTTTTCTAGTGTGGGCATTAAGATTCTGGCTGAGTGCTGTCTTTAAATTGCTTTGATGCTAGGTGGGTTCCAACCCTGACCTGTCCTGATGGCAAGTGATGCCTGTAACAAGCTCAGGATCAATATTCATAGCGGGTGTCCCGGGCTGATAACACTATCCAAGACAATGTTCACTATCAGTGCAGACAGCTGAGATATTGCGCCATTAGGGATGTTGTGTTAAATAACCTGATCCATTTCTGGGGCTATTTAATGAATTTCACAGTTTAGATAGTATCTTTAAGGAGAAGGCAAAGGCTATTCCGAAGGCACTGATGCAAATCAATGGTGCCAAGCTTCCTGAGCTATTCCACAAACAAAGTGGCCTATAATTCCAGCACAGCCTGGAGAGCGGCTGCCCATGCCATGAATAGTGTTAACAATGGAAAGAATTCGCGGTTTATGCAGAGGGAGGGAGGGCAAGATTATGAACCGTGTTAAAGTACCTTAGATAAAATCTTATGTTCTTGAAATAAAATACAACTGAAATTCTCTAGGTAAAACTCATCAGTTTGAGCCAGCCCAGGGGGTAGGACATATATGCCAAAGAGACAGCTTCATAAGGCACAGCTTGGCGACAAAGAGGGCTGCTTCGACTGCATGGATATAGACATGTGGGCAACTCCTTTCCGTGGGTCCTCAGCCAGCTTTCCCTAAGAAGTGTTTTTGCAACTCAAATCGGTCTGTAAAATGGAAGGGGAAGGCACTGGATTTTAAAAGGAACCTACTGATAGCAGCTGTTTGTTTACTTGACCCCATACCCCTTGTTGCTGAGAGTTCATTTACAATTAAAGGCTAGCATTTACCATTTCCCACCAGAGCTTTGAACTCTGGCTGCCAAGCAGAGCAAGTATTCCTTTTGAAAACCCACTTTGGAGACTTTGATTTGTGAAAGCAGAGTTCAAAGTGTAGCCTTCCCAACTGTCCCCAAACTGATATATATATACATATATATATATATATATATATATACTCAGTATGTTTTGCTTCAAAGAGTCAGTATATCTTCTTGGAAATCCATGGATTAAAAAAAAATCTTCTTTATCTTAGATCCTTAGATTGATAGAGGAAGCATCAAAGGTGATAAGACAATAGGTAGAGGTATACAGGTAAGGTAGAATGGTATGTTAATTGGTCCTGATAATAATAATTAGTATTAACAGTAATAGTTTCTCTTTCCTTTTTTTTGGAGAGGTTTTTGCTATAGGGTGCGTGCGCTCCCCGGACAGACAGAGAGAGACATAGAGACAGAACGTGAGAAATCACCCCCCAGGGGGGATGGTCACGCTGCAATCCCTTCTCCTCCATTCTCCTCTCGGGATCTTGGGCACGCACACACGCACCCAGTGTGAGTTTTAAGCCACCGGGTCCGGGATGCGAACCGCTGTCGACTATGTGGGAGTCCAGTGACACAGCCATTACGCTAACTGCTGGTTCCCTAGTTGCTCTTTCTTGGGCACTTGCTCTGAACCAGACATTGGATTTTTTTTTTTCTTTTGGAGAGGTTTTTGCTATAGGCCATGTGTACTCACCAGAAAGACAGAGAGAGAGACAGAGAGACAGACAGAAACCAAGAAATCACCCCCCAGCGGGGATGGCCATGCCACAATCCTTTCTCCTCCATTCTCCTCTTGGAATCTTGGGCATGCACGCACATGCACCCAGCGTGAGTTTAAGCCACCGGGTCCAGGACTTGAATCGCAGTCAACCAAATGGGAGTCTAGCTACATAGCTATTATGCCAACTGCTGGTCCCTGGAGTAATATTTTTTACATGTTATTTCATTAACCCTTCCAATGCTTTATGAAGTAGGCATTTATTATCCCTAATTTATAGGTGAGAAAATGAGCTTAGAGAGATTAAGTAACTTGCCCAAGCCTCAGAGCAAGTAAGTGGTGGAACTGAGATTTGAACCCAGACAGTGAGGTTCTTAAATGCTTCTTAAATACAACGGAAATTCTGGTAAGGTTCTTGTCAGGGAAAATCCTACCTCAGGGTGAAATCTAACTGTAGACATTTATGGAATGGCTTTTCCCTCAGAGCTACACACACAGCTTCAATCTGTAAGAGGAGCTCTGTGAGAAGAACTGAGTCCAAGTACTGCCTGGAAGAATACCGTCATGCAGGTTTAGGGGATCCAATTTTAGAAGCTTTTACATTTAGTATTTTCTAATGTTTTAAGATATTCCCAGGAGGAGCCCTAGGAAAGGGAAGTGCCAGCCAAGCCAAATTGCTCTGGGCATCTGGAAAAGAGGAGAAATGTAATTGGGAGAAGGAAAAGGGGGGTGGGGTATGACACGTGACAAGGTGAAGACAAGAAGAGAGACTGGGTCAAGGATAGGGCCAGAAAGAGCAGGGACAAAGATGCAGTCTGGGCCCTTTCCAACAGTGAGCATAGCATGCCATGTTAATACTGTACCAAAGAGAGGCATCTGCAGAATAAAGACAAGGAAGCAGGTAGAACTTTGCAAACACATAAATCACCCATTTCTGTGTGGAATGCAGACCCAAATGATCTGTGTTTGCTTAGGTGGTTTCCAGAAAGATGGCAAAGGCTTCTGTTCCTTGAATCTGTGCCGAAATTTCATTCATGCTTTGTTCTCCCTCCTCTCTCTGCCTGCAGCCCTGCCACGCCTGCAGGAGACGCCTCATTTGAACGTGCAAAGCCCAGCCTTCAGAGAGCTGGCTGTAGCCTAAAGGAGTGACTGATCAAGGACCAGTGGACTGCTCCACATCAAGGGGATGCTGCTCCTCCACTCAGTGGACACTGACCTTGTAGGAATGCTGACTAGCACTGTTGGATCTTCATATTGACCAAAAGAAACTGGATTTTTAAATTTTTTCGACTGAGTGAAATTTTTGCTATAGGGCATGTGTGCTCTCCACAGAGACAGAAATCACCTCGTGGGGGACAGGGGTGGGTGATGGCCACACCACAATCCCTTCACCTCCATTCTCCTCCCAGGATTTTGGGTATGCATGTACATGCGTCCAGCATGAGTTTTAAGTCACTGGGTCTAGGTCTCAAACCTTGGTGGACTATGTGCAAATCCAACAATATAACCATACACTATCTGCTGGTCCCCAGAGATATGGGTTATTATGTGATATCTGCATAGTTTTTTTATTTTATTATTATATTTTTAAATTTGTGATGTAGTACACATGTGTACTTAAGAAGCAAAAGAAGTGGGGAAGTACCTTCCATAGTATTTGGTTATGCATTGATGCCCTTCTTCCAGTCCAGCCCACCAGGATCCTGGAAACATGGACATGCACATGGTGTGTTTGCAGGCCATCTGGGCTGGGGACACAGACCATGGTTGGCATGTGGCTACCAGTTCCACACTCCAGTATATTACTGCCTGCTCTACAGAGGCTGGGCTCTTTTGAGAAGTTTTAAACACCAGCAACCAACTCAGTGTTGAAAAATAGCCCATCAGAAACAGGTCTGTAGACCATGAGTTTGCAACGTAGGCTGTGCACCTGCCAACTGAGCTCATCTGTTCACTGTCAATGGCATTTGAATGGTTACTGTGGTTCATGGGATTAAGATTAATATCTTAGCAAGAATGGAAGGTTCTTCAAGATCTGAGCCAACTGCCTGTACATTCCTGGTCCCTGGAAAGGCCATGCTCTGTGTGAGATGAGTGCAGGTCCCCTGCCTATGCATGCTGCCTTCTCAGAGGCTCCGTATCAGCAAGTGGGTAGTGGGTCAGATTTGGGGACAACTGACCCAATGTGGCAGCCTATTTCTGGGCTGCCTAATGACCAAACTCGTCCAAGCAGTCAGGTGAACTAGGCCAGCCAGATCCCTTTCCCAGGAATCTGGAATAGGACCTTACCCCTAGCGAATGCTTGAGCTCAATGAGCTCTGTGGGCAGGAAAAATCAAATGGGGTTGTCACTAGGGGGCCACCTGAACACCAGATACAAAGAAGTAGAAATTTGGCAGGAAGTAAAAGTAGAAAACAGGTGTGCAGAGCAGGAAAGCCCTGAGAGACACAAACAGGTGAGCACTAGCCACTGCTTCAGTTTCCATCTTCCTGAGGCTGGTTGTTCCACTTCTGGATTCCTAGTGAGCCTCACTTCATCCCTGCAAATACCTCATCCCACTTTGATGTGAGCCACCCCAAGAAGGGTTCTAATCCTTGCAACTAGAAGAGACTTGGGTCCCTTTCCATCTTATAGCAAACATCTCTCTCTATAAATAAATACAGATATGGGTTCATAATGGACCTGACTAGGGAAATGTCATGCATCAGTAGGCCAACCTTAAGGGATTTAAGGGAATTATACATGCTGGGTGTCAGTTCATTATTGTGCTGCTAAACAGACATACCTGAGACTTGGTAATTTATAAATAGAGATTTGGCTCATAGTTCTGGTGGCTTGAAAGTCTAAGAGCATGGAGCCAGCATCAGGGCAATCTCTGGTCTGCTGTAACAACATTGGTAACAGAAGCAGGATGCAGGCATGTGCAAAGAGAGAGAGAGAGAGAGAGCCATCTTACCTTTGTAACAACCTGCTCTAACTTTTCCCCACTGGAGTAAGAAATGACTCCCTTTCAAGAGAGAGTATGAATCTATGAGAGTAGGGTCCCATGATCCAAACACCACTTCAAGATCAATCTCTCCCTCTCTTTTTTCCCCATGGCATCCCATCTCAATAAATCAGAAGAACCTCTGGCTCATATAGACCTCACTTGGTCTAGCCTCACTTCCCAGGAAAGACAAATTTTGACAATAAATACAAAGGGTCCCTGTGGGTAGTGGGTACCTGCTACTTTGGCCTATGCAGTGTTGTTTCTTTCTTCCTTTTGGTGTAATGTCTTCTCCCCTATTCCGTGTGGCTATGGTGGGACTGTACCCAAGTACCTCTCCCCCCCACCCTGGTAAGGGCACATGAAACAGGCTGGATCATCATGGTACCACTTCCTTCTGAACACAGGCACAGGGAGTAGGGAGCACTGACCCAACAGAGCTGATCAGAGTTCTCTCTACAATTGTCAGATCAAGTTAAGGACAATATTCTTCACTTGGTGTTTTACCAGGGACTCTGATACCTCAGTGCTAGTAACCAGCCTTGCCCAAAGTTATCAATTGTAAGACTCTCTGGTTGTGTGAGCCAATAAATTCTTTTCATATTAAGCCATTTAAAATTTGGTTTCTCTCGTTGGCAACCAAAGAGTCCTAACTACTGTAAGAAAATCTGAGGACCAGCAGATGGCTATGGTTATATTGCTGGACTCCCATGTAGTTGACCACAGTTCGAGTCCTGCACCTGGTGGTTTAAAACTCACGCTAAGTGTGTGTGTGTGCGCATGCCCAAAATCCCAAGAGGAGAATGGAGAAGGGCAGCATGGCCATCTCCCTGAGGGATGATTTCTCACTGTCTCTCTGTCTCTCTGGCAAGTATACATGCCCTATAACAAAAATTTCTCTGAAAAAAAAAAAAAGAAAAGAAAAGAAAAAGAGAAACTCTGAAAGGATTATATATATACATCTACTATAGCAAAAGAGGATTGATAGATTCAGGTGTGAGCTAAAATTCATACATAATAGGTATGTCTGTTATTGGAAAGGTAACAGGCTCAGAACAGATGGAAATATGCATCCAGACACTCTGTAGTTTTAACATGCCACTTGACTAGCTCTGGCTCCCAAAATACAAACAAGAGTCCACTGGATCAAGATTTTGGAGAAGCTTTTGTTTTCCTGGTATAAAGGGCAAGACCTGTACTTTCCCCCTTTTCCTTCCCCTCCTTCCTGCCTGAAATGCAGAAGTGATGTCGGGGGCAGGGGGTGCAGTCCGCAGTTCGAGAGCATGAGGCTGAAAGCCACATGTTGAGGATGTTGGTGCAGAAAGATGGAAGTAACCCATTCTTTGATGGTTGTGGGACCTATTGTACGCGTCCCCAACCCCACCCCATCTCGGGCTGTCTTTCTTTTGACTTCTTGATGTATGAGGAAAAGTTATCCTATTTGGATGAGAACCTATAGATGGATTTCTGTTACTTGTAGCCAAGCGAAACCTGAAGACACTACCCTTCACCTGCTACATTCAAAGTCTTGGATTTGGGGAATCAAGTTCAGCACCTCAGTGACTCACATTAGAGACTTGCCAGCTTGGACCAACTTGTCATTTTGGGATGAGTTATCTGGATCTCATTATTCACTTCCTGCTGTAATAAGTTGCCACCAATTCAGTAGTTTAAAATGACAGTTTTTATCTTACAGTTCAGAGGTAAGAAGTTCTAAATCCAGGTATCAGCAGGTCTGCCTTCCTCTGGCAACTTTAGGGAAGAATGTATTTCTTAGCCCTTTCCATATTCTAGAAACTGCCTGCATTTCTTTTATTTCTTATCTCTCTTTTAATTTTTTTCTTTTTAGGTGTTTGTGACAGGGCGTGGGTGCTTGCTAGAGAGAGACAAAGAGAACGTGAGAGAGAAAGTAAGAAATCATCCCCCAGGGGAGAGGACCATGCCACGATCACTTCTGCTCCATCTCCTTTTGGGATTTTGGGCATGCATGCACATGTATCTGGTGTGATTTTCAAGCTACCAGGTCTGGGACTCGGCCATAGTTGGGCATATGGGAGTCCAGCACCTTAACCATCATGTCACTTGCTGGTCCCAGCCACCTCCCTTTCTTCCTTCCTTCCTTCCTTCCTTCCTTCCTTCCTTCCTTCTTTCCTTCCTTCCCTTTATATTTTTTTAATTTTTAAATTTTTTTTTTTAGGCATATAAAAACAGGAAGTTTATTGTTCATTGAAAGGGAAGAAAAAAAACAGAGTTCCCCCAAAGAAGGGAAGGATCCTGGAAAATGAGTTGCCCTTTCTTTCTTTCTTTTTTATTTTTAAGTATTATTTAATGGGACCAGCAGATGATGTAGTGGTTACATTGCTGGATTCCCACATGGCTGACCACAGTTCAAGTCCCAGACCCAGTGTCTTCAAAATCACTCTTGGTGCGAGGCTGGTGTGGAGTCTGAGAGTGCTGCCATGGCTTCCAGCGTGGTCTCAGTGAGCGCTGCCAGCTCGGCTGAGCTTGGCTCTGCAAAAGAAGCTCCTGAAATTCCAGACACTGTGGGAGATTACCTGTGGGCATCTACTGCTTTGCCATGGATAGGAATGATTTTTGGAGGAACTCGATTCTCAATTTGGGACTCTGCAGTGGGAGTTTGGCTTGCCAGGAACTTGAGTGGCATCGATCTAATGGCACATCAGCCAGGGGTATAGCCAAGGAGACAAGTGGAATCCCTGTGCTGTACCCGAACCTTCCAAAAATAGAGACTACAATGTGTGACCACCACAAGACATGCCCTGATGGCATCTGAAGTTTCAGACTGCACCTTGCACTTCTCTGCCTGGTTTCATTTTGCTCGGTGTCCACCCAGAACTCCAGTGTCGGGTCCAGCAGTCGGGCTTCATCTGTTCTGTAAAGTTCTGTACATAGTTCCTATGTTTCTGCAGGGCGTAATCTTTGTTTTTGTCCTAAGAACAATAATTTTTTTTTTTTTGGTAGAGGTTTTTGCTATAGGGCACGTGCGCTTGCCAGAAAGAGAGAGAGACAGAGAGACAGAAAGTGAGAAATCACCCCCCAGGGGGGATGGCCACGCCGCAATCCCTTCTCCTCCATTCTCCTCTCGGGATCTTGGGCATGCACGCACATACGC